AGCGTTCTGGATGTTTGCTGGGTGTGGAAGAAGCTTTAACACATAAATATGAGAAAGCAAGATCTGACAGCAAGGGATAAGTCTTGTGTTGGTTCCACCACCAGCAGCAGGTCCTCAGACAGAACGACTGGTGGAAAGTCCTGGTACGTCTGCAGCCCTCTCTCCACTTGTTTCTTCATGGACATGGAGCTGTGACATTACATTGTGCCTCTTCCTCAGCAAAAAGCTCCTCCAGTGGAGACTTCTTGGACAGATTGCATGGAGGTGGTTCCTAAACAAACAACAGGTTCATCAGTATTATCACTAAAAAGGATCATTAAAGGCATGATCATTAATAAGATTGAGAATCTATATAATTTCAGCTATCATACACTTACACTCTCCTCCCTCATTCTCAGGCCTTTCCTCAGACTACATGGTGACCCCATCATCTCCACAGTCTTCCTCTATTGACCACAAATAACATTACTGGTATTTAGAGTTCAGATTTTAATAGCAGAAAAGGACAGTTGTGCATGAATTACATTTCACCTGCTCAATCAGCTTCTCTGGATCTGCTCCCAGACACCGTCATCCATCTTCTGTTTAAAGCACAGAGCAGCTTTTCTCCACCTTATAACAAGATGGGTCCATGGTAGTTAGTGTATATTTGGGTTGATGGTTTTCACCATGTCCCTGCAAACATATAAATAAACATGTAATGTCACTGTTACTGTAACGTTAGCTTCGGATGGACAATTAATTAGCTTAGCTCTATTGTTGTTGCCTAGCTAACCTAAAAGTTGGTGATTCCACAACTGAAAAGGGATGCAACCTTTTCACAATATATGGTGTAAATGTTCTGTGGCACTCTTCATTCAGTTGCACCAACGTATATCCCTTGGAGAACTCCTTGGTGAACGGAGGAGCACATCGTGGAGCCTGGCTAACATTATTAGCCATTTCAGGTCGTTTGTCTAAGAAAAAAGTACGAGCTAACGTTAGCATGGTGTTTGCATTTGAGTTAACCTACCGCTTTAAGTCGAGTATAACTTGTTAGCTGCCTTAATGTTGGAATGAGATGTAATTTATAGTTTTATTTACCTGATGGAGCCGGAGAAGGAGGTAGCGAAAACAGTCCGGCGGAGCACTTCAAAGACGGGCCACTATTTTACTTCTACACCCTCCTTTGCTCGATATAAAATTATTGCAAATGACTGAGCCGACTGGTCATTTCATTACAGTTAAGCCACGCTTTCGACTGCGGCTGCTCACTCTCCATGTATGGGAACACTTCTGGTGGATTCTTCTTCATTGGTTTTCGGCAGGCAGCTTCTTCTTCGTTGGTGTTCAACGGGCAGCTTCTACTTTTGGTTTACGGACTAGACATCAAAAACAGGAATCAAAAATAAATATTTTGAACAATTCAGGGAAAACCGGACAGTTAGTCCCGGTTCCAAACGATTCTCGATCCTCCATGCCCAACCCTAGACAAGACTGAGGTTTTAGTTTTTGGACCTGAGTGTCTTTGAAATAAAGTTGGTAGTTTTTCACTTTCTCTGGATGGCATTAACTTGGCCTCCGGTTCTGATGTTAAAAACCTTGGTGTGTTTTATTAATCAGGACATGTCTTTTAACTCCCACATTAAAAATGTTACCAGAACTGCCTTCTTCCATCTGCGAGATATCTCAAACATTAGAAACATCTCATCCAAAAATGATGCAGAAAAACTGGTCCATGTATTTGTCACATCTAGACTGGACTATTGCATTTGTTTAGTATCTGGGTATTCACAAACTTCTTCAAAACGTCTTCAGATGATCCAAAATGCTGCTGCCAGAGTCTTAACTGGAGTTAGTGGGAGAGATCATATCTCTCCAGTTTAGCTTCTCTCCATTGGCTCTCTGTCAAATCCAGAATTGAGTTCAAAATCTTACTTCTAACCTACAAAGCTCTCAACAACCTAGCTCCATGTTATATTACAGATATTTTTGTTCCATATTTTCCTGACAGAGCACTTCACTCTCAGACTGCAGGCTTATTTGCAGTTCCTAGAGTTTCCAAAAGCAGAATGGGAGGAAGATCTTCCAGTTATCAGGCTCCTCTCTTGTGGAACCAACTTCCAGTTTCTGTCCGTGAGGCTGACACATTGTCCAGTTTTAAAACGGGACTTACGACTTTTTGATAAATCCTATAGTTAGAGTTAGCTTAGGTTTCCTGAGCTGTCCTTTATAGTTATGCTGCTATAAGTTTAGACCGCAGGTGGACAAATTGACCACATTGTCTTACTCTGCTGTCTTTCCTTGCTCTACCTGTTTTATATTTGTAATTATTTATATTCTTAAAATGTTTTTGTCTGTCTTCCAATAGAGGGTACACCTGCACCGACACCTGGACCTGCCATTTTGTGTTTGTTTGTCTCTCCTTCCTGTCCTCTCAAACCCAGCTGGTCGAAGCAGATGGTCGCTCGTCCTGAGCCTGGTTCTGCTGGAGGTTTCTTCCTGTTGAAGGGAGGTTTTCCACTTCATTATAGCCTTTGTGCTTTCTCAGGATTGTAGACTGGGACTAAGTGAAAATTCAATGAGTCTGCTGGCTTCCTTACATAGAGAACTGTAATGACTTTTAATGTACGTGAATGTTTTTTGTACAGTGCCCTGAGATGACTTCTGTTGTGAAGTGCTATATAAATAAATTGAATTGAACTGAATTGAAGCAAAAATGTGAAAATTTTGTCTTGTTTCAATTTTTAGTTTCGTCAAGATCTTTAGGTCTATAAAACTTGATATTTCAATTTGTTTACACCCAAGCATTCATGTTGTGGCAATTAAAAAAACAAACAACAATGACAACATCAAATGTCCATGGTGGACAACAGCCCCACCACGTCCCCCCACCTCCCCAATAAAGCATTTTATTGCAGAACATAAACACAAATCAAACAAACATGAACAAAATAAAATGTGGTGTTGCAATCCTAATCACTAAAGAAAATCAATGTTGTCCAATTAGACACGACTAAAATCAGTTTAGTTTGTTGTAGATGAACAGATGCTGGGATATATTCATCATTTAACGCGGGTTCCTCATTTTTCTGGACTGAATAAAACGTGCATTGAATTTAAGGAAAGGCAAACGTGAGACGTCATTTAAATTTGACCCATCAAAATGAATGCGGTCATTTATTTACAGAATCAAATTTAACATCAAACATTTACATTAATTTGGCAAATTATGAAAATAACAATATAAGCAATCAATCAGGAAAAATCATACGGCCATGATTTTTCGTTGCTGCACCACAAACATTTATAAAACTGTACAACTATGATCTTTTACCCACACGGATGTGAATAAGCACTTTACACAGACATTTCTAAATATCTGGGAGAATTTCTACTTGATAGAAAAGTTTAAAGATGGAAAGAAGTTTAGAGGGAGTTAAGATGGTATGTGAGGGAAATTAAGTGTTCACCAGAATCGACACTCTCCGGCTTTCTTCAGCTTTTCCTTACAGTACACTTAGGTGATGAAATCGGCTCCTTTACCTGGAGATGTCTCAGGTGAGATTCCGTTTAACGCACCCTTTCAGCGTCTCAGTAGGATGCTGTTACTCGTCCGAAGTAATGGCGAGGCTCTGTTCGACACATATTCACCTCAGTGGAAAATGTTATAATCCCATGGAACTCGGGAGAGCTTTGTTGTCATGTCAGGAACTCCAACAGCACTCCATCAGAACTCAGCAGAACTTGAGTAGACTCTCACCGAACTCTACGCTCTCAGAACTCTTAGAACTCCGACAACTCTCCAACTCTGTGTAGACCAGGAAGTACTGACATTTTAAAGACTCTTTCCCGGTTCACTTTTTGGGATTTGTTCATTGGTCAGAATCGACCAGAAGGGGTGTGTTTTTGTGACGTAAGAGGTTAGAGACAGCGAGAATTGTTATGAGACAGGTCAGAAATGTTCTCACAGACCGAGAGGGTTTTGTTTTGGCGTGTTTAAGAAACAGGTGCAAAACATCTCTATTTACGTCTGAGAGGATTCTAAAACATGACAGTTTTAACATAACAACTTGTTTTTCGTTTGACTGTAACCTTGTAAACGCACACACTTGCTCATTCAAAAGCAGAAATCAGAAAAATGCATAATTACTCTGCAACAGCTTTTAACATGAGTTCTAACTTTTGTATGAGAATAAAAACCATTACTCAGTTAATAAAATTGATTAGTTCACTGCAACATCTAAAATGGTTTGAACTAAGACACTTTGATTATCAACATTTGAACAATAGTAATGATAATAAAACAGAGAGTGTTCTTTTCACTTGAATCTTCAAGAGAGAAAGTCTCAGGATGGGTGAACCTGTATTTCTGTATTCAAATACATGAAATGACAGTTCCTGTCCCACAAGGTTCTAAAGGTCAAGAGTTTTGACCTTAGACTTAGTTTCGACGTAGGCCTAGTCCACTACATTGTCAAAGTTATAAAAACTGCAGAAGGAAATAATGAGATTGGCAAATAATTTATTAGTTTCTGATCTGCATGGATTAGAAAAACGTAAAACGAATAAATTGTTATAATCTTGTCAAAAAATCTAAATAATAAAAGTTAACTAAGGTAAAACAAGACGCTACAGCAACAAACTGATCTAACACAGTAAGAGCTGGTCAGAACAGATGAATGACAAATTTTCATTTAAAGCAACAAACAATATAAACTGAATGTGTCACATTCATTAAGAATTGTCAAATCTGCAGACAGTGAAAAAAAAAAACTAGTTTGAAAAAAGTAATTGATAGCAATAATGAATGTGAAACTTTAAAGATAAATCAGTAAAATGTATGCGCTAAAGTTAATGTAAACATGTGTCTATAGTAACTGATGTAACTAGCTGCATGGGCAGTCATGAGACCACAAGTCAAAGTCTGAACCCTTTCTCACGGCTGTGAATATGCTCTAAGTTTAAGCAGAAGAACATTAGTTTGTCTGTCGTTCTTTGTTGCTCTTTGAGTTGTTTTATCTCATTACTCAACGTGGATTATTCAGGATCATTTAGAACTGCAGTTTTAGCTTTCTGAAATGCTTCCCCTGCTGTTTTTGCTCCTGCAGCTGCATTAAATCCTGCCATACCTCCCCTCAATCCCCTGTTTAGAGCCTCCTGGAGAACTAAATCCCTTTCTTGGCTTGAAGTACTTGAAGATCTTTGAAAAATTTGAAGAATAGCCGAGATGTTCTCTAACACACCAAGGAAGGCTCCAAACAGTGCACCAGTCGCGGTCCCCACTAACCTCACCATTAACTCATTAACTACATTGCTTTTTGCCTGGTTTCTAAGTTCCTCGGGTGTCATATTTGATGAAGATTGTTGTAGGAGTTCTTCCTCCATCTGTATTTCTCTTCTCACTTCTTGTAGAATCTCGTTGGTGTAGCACCTTCTACCGTTGGCCTCAATGATTTTGTCTGTGGTCTTCAACAGCTCTGCAACTTGGAACTGATTGTTCCTGTAGGGGTCATTTCCAGTAGCGTTCCAGTATTTATTATCAGTAACATGGCATCTGTTTCCACATTTCTTCACCAGGTCACTCAGGCTTTGGTTCAGGCTGACAAACTCCTCAATTCTCATTCCATCAGGCAGCTGGTCTCCATGAGTGAAGACAACTGCTGCAAATTTCAGAGCGTCTTCAGAGAAGTACTGGCATATCTTTTTAATAACAGCTTTCTCCTGCTCTGTGAATTTCTCCACTTGTAGCACAATGAGAAAGACATGAGGTCCAGGGGCGCTCTCTGCGATACACCGCACTATCTCAGCCTTAAGTAAAGCCTCAGACACACATGTGTTAAAAACACTGGGGCTGTCGATGAGAGTGAGGTTTCTTCCATTAACAAGCTTGGTTTCTGCTCGAGACCGACCTGTTTCTGAAACTGGGGAATGGTTTATCTTGAAGACATCCTCTCCAAATATCATATTAGCCAGGCTACTTTTCCCAGATCCAGTTTTCCCCATGAGGACGATCCTCGTTGAACTCAGCTCTAGGAAACAAGATTGGTACAGGTGAAAACTCACTTTCTTTGTTCTAACCTTTGTTCCTTTTGTGTTCACAAAAATCACTTTACTGTACTGATACGTCTTTATGTTAATGAAAACGTGTTAATCTTTGTAATGTAACACACAATATATCATACCACTAAAAAATACATAAAGTTCATTTTTACCACAAAATTAATTCCGACTCATGTTTTACATTGTGTAAGCCACAATACTCAAATGACACTTTGTTTAGTGATATAGCTTATTTCATCATAGAACAAATACCACCACGCAAAAAATAAAATTACACTAATTTGCACAAGAATAGTTTAAGATGGTTACACGATTATATATATATATATATATTTTTTTTTTTATCCAAGATGGCGCCGGTGTGTAGGGCTGCCCGTCTCTCGCTCTCTGCTTGTATTTTATTTTAGTTATTTTTACAATGGTTTGTGCAGTGTGCCGAGTCATATTTTCAGTATGATCGTCGGGCACTTTTGGAGCTCTGTACATTTGCTGAAATTCCCGCTGAGTTTTTGAACAGCGGCCAGCACTCTCCCCCACCGGTCCTATCTGAGATTCCTGCATTCCTTCTGCGTGACCCTGGCCTTTCTCCATGGAGGAAACGTCGCAGACGTCGTGGGAAGCGTGCAGGGATTTTGGTGAAACTGAGACAAAGTGTGGATTATTCTATCAGGACTCGCTCTGGATCTGATCATCTCCTCTCTGACCCGTGGTGCTCTCGGGGCCCGGCTGCTGGCCAGTTGCCCGCGCGCTCAGTCCATGGAAACACCTGGAGTTGTTTACCTGTGCGCCGCACCAGCAGACCAGGAGGAGCTGTTCTTCATAACCTGCGCCTGCTGGCACGCGCGTCTCCATCCACGGCTGTGCCTGTGTTGGACAATATCAGGATGTGTTTAATCAACGCAAGGTCTGTTTCCAACAAGACGTTTATCCTCAATGACTTTTTTTAATGATGAGGAGTTGGATTTCCTGTTTGTCACAGAATCTTGGATTTCTGATGGTGAGTCCAGCGCCCTGGTGGAACTACTTCCTCCGGACTGTCTGTGTTTCAATGCCCCGCGGCCATCAGGTCGGCGCGGGGGGATTATTAACAGTTTTTAAAGCAAACTTGGCCTGTAAAAAGTTGTCCATCCCGGTGTCCCGCGCCAGCTTTGAGCTGAGCGTTTTTGAACTCGGACACTCTCCTACGGTTCTGTGCGCGCTTGTCTACCACCCACCTCGTTCTAAGGACTTCATAAATGAATTCTCTGACTTTTTGGCTGATATCACACAGAGATACACTCACTTTTTGCTTATTGGTGACTTTAATTTGCATGTGTGTTGTCAGGAGAAGCCCTTAGTGAAGGACTTTCTGGATTTATTGGACTCTTTTGGCTTAGCTCAGCAGGTGAGCGACCCCACCCAGGAACACGGTCACACGCTGGACCTCGTTTTAACACGCAATGTCTCTGTTTCTAATTTGAAAATCAGTGACAATGTTTTATCAGATCACATGCCTGTATTGTTTGACTTCACCCCCCCTTGTCATACTGCTAAGACGTGCGTTCCTGCACGTACGCGTTCCATTAACCGTTTCACTGCTGCTCGTTTTAATTAAGGTTTTAACTCTGAGAGGATCGAACAGCTCTCGGTGTCTCTTACCACTGAGGAGCTAACCTCTCAGTTCAACTCTGCCTGTTTAAATGTTCTGGACCGTGTTGCTCCCCTTAAGACCAGAAAAACGAAACTTAAATCAGAGCCCTGGCTGAATGACGTCACGCGAGCCGTTAGGCGGCAGTGTCGCAGAGCTGAACGAAAGTGGAGGAAGGACAGGCTCCAGGTGTCTTTTCAAATGTTAAGGGAGAGTTGGCGTCACTATCAGAAAACCGTTAAAGCTGCCAAATGTAAATTCTTCTCTGATTTAATTGTCTCCAACTCCCACAATCCCCGAGTTCTTTTCTCCACCCTGAACTCAGTTCTACACCTCAGTGAGCCTTCACCTCTGGAAGCCTCAACTGAGCTGTGTGAAAACTTCCTCCATTTCTTTTTAGAAAAAGTGGCAAACACCCGGGCACTCATTTCTCCACCAGCTCATGATCTGTCCATCCCATCTCAGTGTGTGGCTGTGTTTGACCACTTTGAGCCCATCTCTCTGTCCTCTCTGAAGCAGGTAATGTGCAGCATGAAGCCATCTGGTTCCCCCTTTGATGTGGTCCCCCCTCAACTGCTAAAGGAAGTTTTTCCTACCCTGGGTCCTTTTATCCTCGCTATTCTGAATAGCAGTTTATCCTCAGGTGTGGTGCCAAAGACTTTTAAACATGCTGCTGTCCAGCCCCTCCTGAAAAAACCTAACCTTGACCCCTCAGTCATGTCCAACTTCCGGCCTGTCTCCAGACTCCCATTCACCTCTAAACTACTGGAAAAAATTGTGGAGTCTCAGTTGAAACAGTTTTTGGGGGATCACGCTATCCTTGAGTTATTCCAATCTGGCTTCAAATCTCTCCATAGCACTGAAACTGCTCTACTGAAGGTTTTTAATGACATTTTCATATCCACAGACGCAGGTGATTCTGTGCTGCTTGTCCTATTGGACCTGACATCTGCTTTTGACACCATCGACCACAAGAACCTCATTTCTAGACTGGAGCAGTGGGTGGGCATCACAGGGTCAGCCCTTAAATGGTTTGGGTCCTACCTCTCTGACAGAACCTTCTGTGTCAATATCAAAGATTTTAGTTCGGCATCGACAGCGCTCCAGTGGGGGGTACCGCAGGGGTCCATCCTCGGTCCCCGTCTCTTTTCTTTATACCTGCTGCCACTAGGTGCTATCTTCCGCAAACACGACATACCCTTTCATTTCTATGCCGATGATTGCCAAATTTACTTCCCCCTGAGGCACAGAGGCACACGCTCTATTCAGCCTCTTCTTGACTGCCTGGCTGACATCCGGGACTGGATGGCTTTAAACTTCTTAAGCTTCAATGAGAAGAAGTCTGAAGTCATGCTGTTCCATCCCAGTGGCTCACTCATGAACCATGACATTGACCTTTTCTCTCTAGCCCCGCTAGAGAAACAAAAGGTCACTAATCTGGGGGTGATAATGGACCCGTCCTTAAAACTCAACAGTCACGTAAACATGATGGTCAAATCCTGTTTTTTTCAGCTGAGACGGCTGTCTAAGCTGAAGCCTATACTCTCCAAAAAGAACCTTAAGACAGTGATCCACGCCTTCATAACATCTAGGCTTGATTACTGCAATTCACTTCTGTTTGGAATCAGTCAGTCCTCCATTGCTCGTCTACAACTGGTCCAAAATGCTGCAGCCCGATTTTTAACTGGTACAGGCTATAGAGAGCACATCACGCCAGTTTTGGCCTCCCTGCACTGGCTACCCATTCACCTTCGGATCCATTTCAAAATTCTCATGTATGTTTTTAAATCACTGAACAGTTCCGCCCCATCCTATCTCACTGATCTTCTGCAGCCATATGTCCCACCGCGCTCTCTGAGGTCAGCAGACCAGATGCTTCTCTCAGTCCCAGAAACCCGTCGTAAGCTCAGAGGTGACAGGGCTTTCTCTGTTGCAGGTCCACGACTGTGGAATGAGTTGCCACTGAGTGTCCGGCAGGCTCCCACACTCTCTGTCTTTTAGTCTCGCTTGAAGACCCACTTCTATTCGCTTGCCTTTAACACGGTGTGATTTGTTTTGGTCCGGTCTGTTCTCTACTCTGTTGGCCATTTTAGTTAGCTTCTGCTGCTATTTGTATCTGTATTTCTATTTTATGTTAGCCCACTAGAACACAGAGCTCCAAAAAGTCCACCTGTTGTTTGCCTGTTTTGTGTGATCAAAGTCATTGTTTTTCTCTCTAAACTTTTGAGAGGAGGGTTATATAATTAAAATTATTTAAGCAGCATGTGTTCACACCCACTGTTGGTAAGCTGCAGTGACTGGTTAAAATGGAATAAGCACGGCCTCTTTCCAGTATCAGGTAATTCTGACACGGAAGGAAGGGTTAGAAGCTGTCCTGAGTTGGCAGAATTGTGACGTCGTTGGCTGAGTGTTGGCTCCGAGCCAGCCCAAGGAATCAGCTGGATCCTGCTGCTTCAGTCCCTTCATCTTGGATCGAGCTCAATCAGTGGAAATGGAGAAAAGTCCACAGAACACCCTCAAACACCTTGGAGTGATGCAAGCACGGCTTGTCCGAATGGAACGCAGTCCTGAAGGGGGACGGCGTGAACCCCAGGATACTTTCGCATCATATCCATAATGGGTAATGTGGACATCTTTCCAGTAGGACAAACATCTTTCTTCTGATGAGAAGAACAGCTCAATGCCAATAAAGTTTTTAGACTTAATTTAGGTCACGAATCTGACATAAAGTTTACCTAAATTTTAAAGTTAGAACTAAAACTGAATAACACCTCTTCTCAAAGTTTTAAGCCATTTTATATTATTTACCCTTTTGAAATGACACTATTTGGTAATTCCTTCATTTTTCATATTTACTATAATTGCATCTTGTCATTATTCAAACTGAAAATAAACGTTACAGAATTTTGATTTTAATTGATGGATTTTTGTGTGTTTATTTGAGTGAGGGGATCACAACGTTGCCAAGAACTCACAATACTTTAATTAAGTTGGATTACACAAACGGTTGGAATAACATCTGTTAAAAGGTGTACTTCCTGTTCTTACTAAATAAGTATTTCCCTACAATATATATACAGTAAACAGTGAGAAAAATAAGTATTTGAACACCCTGCGACTGTGCAAGTTCTCCCACTTAGAAATCATGGAGGGGTCTGAAATTTTCATCTTAGATGCATGTCCACTGAACATCTAAAAATCTGGAAATCACAATGTATGATTTTTAAATAATTTATTTGTGTGTTACTGCTGCAAATAAGTATTTGAACACCTGCCAATCAGCAACAATTCTGACCCTCAAAGACCTGTTAGTCTGCCTCTAAAAAGTCCACCTCCACTTATTATTCTAAATTAGAAGCACCTGTTTGAGGTCGTTAGCTGCATAAAGACACCTGTCCACCCCACACAATCAGTAAACAATGGATAGAAGAAATTAGGCTTTTAAAAACAATAATTTGCTCAGATTCTAGTTCAGCATTAACCAGTCTAAAATACAACCACTCAGACAGTAGAACAGATATTTTAATAGAAATACAGCAAACATTATTCAGGATACAAATGATGGGATTAACAGTTATATTTATTTGGGTTCCAGCTCACATTGGGATTAAGGATAACGAAATAGCACATAGGGAAGCAAAAAAGGCAACAACAGGACAAGTTAATTTTACAGTGAGTACAAGCAAATCAGAAGCAAAAAGTATAATTAAACAAAAATTGAAGGAAAGGTGGCAGAAAGAATGGGATGAAGATCACAAAGGAAGGTGGTATTATAGGATTCAAAAAAGAGTAGGAAAAATGAGAGTAGGAAGAAAAATAGAAGGGAGGAGAAACTATTAACAAGGTTAAGATTTGGACATAATGGACTTAACAGTTCGCTATTCAGAATACAGCAACATAATACAGGACACTGTCAATATTGTGGAGGAAATGAGACAATAGAACATATTATTTTAGTATGTAGAAGATATGTGAGAGAAAGGAGATTAATGTTGGAGAATTTAGGGAAAATAAAGAAAAGTTTAATTTAATAAATCTACTACAGGGAAATTCAGATAATAAAAGTACTCAGATTTTAATTGGATTTTTCGGGAAAACAAAAGTGAATAATAGAATATAGCATAGAATAAAAGATACATTTTGAGCCACACTCCATACAGGTGGCAGTAATGTAACCTCAACGTTTTTTGCCAACCACCAATAAAACCTCAACAACAACAACAACAACAACAACAACAACAACAACAAGAACAACAACAACAACAACAAGAACAACAACACAATCAGTAAGACTCCAACTACTAACATGGCTAAGACCAAAGAGCTGTCCAAAGACACCAGAGACAAAATTGTAGACCTCCACAAGGCTGGAAAGGGTTACGGGGCAATTGCCAAGTAGCTTGGTGAAAAAAGATCAACTGTTGGAGAAATTATTAGAAAATGGAAGAAGCTAAACATGACTGTCATTCTCCCTCGGGCTGGGGCTCCATGCAAGATCTCACCTTGTGGTGTATCAATGATCCTAAGAAAAGTGAGGAATCAGCCCAGAACACAGGGTTTAGGTGCAGGGAAAGAATGGAAACCCAGGCAGTGATGGATATGGCAGCAAAAAGGGGTTCCCAGCAGAACTGTGTCATGTGTCTCAAAGACTGAAAGGTGTTTGTGGAAATGAACGTCCTGCAACCACATGACTGAGCCAACTGTTCAACTTTGGATGGAGTATGCAGGTCTCTTAACTGCTCCATGAAGTTCTCACCAACATGCTTTCCTCTAGGCCTTGTTTTACGTGGGTGTCCTGGAGTTGTTGTTATGCGTCAGGTTACCCGTTTCCTGGGGTTTTCTTTCATCAAAGTCTTTGAATATTTCTATGGAAGACACTATACTTTAAAACCTT